CCCCAAAACCCCAAAACCCCATCGTTATGAATTAAGAAATGTCGAAGTCATCAAGAAATAAATTATAAAGAATGCTTTTTAAAATAATTATTTCATGTTTGAGTTAATTATCAAGCTCTTCTATACCATGAAAAAGCATCGTAACTACTACTCTAAGGACAAATAGCAATAGATAGTAGAACAAAATAAAGAACCATTGCGAGCAGCACTGTTGTGTTAAATTCCCCTTCTACAACCCATGATATGGCAAAAGCTTGAACAGATACGCGTACCAATGATATGATTCTTCTAAGCCAAGCTAAGTTGAGAACTTTCTTCTCATATTCATTTTCACCCTTATACCCAAAGAATATAAGCATATCTGAGGGTATGATTCCGAATATTGACTGTATAATTGATGTTAAAGCACAATAAAGCTTCGTATGTTTGTATCTAAGATACTTGAAGTAAGCCTTGCCAAGATATATCCTAGTTATTAGCAAGTAAAGGACTTCAATTGCAACTCCAGAAGCAAATATGATATGATTTACTTAAAATTTTGGAACGTTTGGATTTGAGTTTTCGATGACTTGATAATTGAAGAAAACGCACATTGCCATGAACATCTCGAATGTTCCGATTAACATAAACATGAAGTAGAAAATCAATGAGTCAGAAGAGCAATTCTCCATATGAATGTTTGCGTAGAAGTTTGTCTTCCATTCACTTAACCCATTAAAAATCTCTTTACTGTAAGATTTTTTATCAAGAGTCTCTTACTACTATTTTTTTAGGAGCTAAGCTGTGCTGGATCTTTTTGGATTAGTTGACCTTACACCTGGGGAGTTATTTTCAGGATCAAATTAGCCGTACTCGAATTCTCCCATTTAATCCTATTATTCATAGCCGTATTCTTGAGAGTTTTGGGATTCTTCATCAGAAGTAGAAGAATGCTGGGATTTCTCTGAAACATTCATCATCATCATCCTTTAGTGCTCCAAAGCAAATGAATTTTTTTCCGATGATCTTGACTTCACTGTGTTGGGACTTAATTAGTAAGGGTAATCACTCATGTGAATCTTTTGGATATCACTATCATTAGAGTGAATTAAGAAGGAGATATTCTGATCGTTATTTAGCCTGTTGTGTCTATTTTACTGGAAGCTAGAAGTTCTCTCACCATGAATATCTTCTCTCATTATCACTGTATTGTGACTTTAATGATCGTTTTCAGACTAGCCAGTATATGATATATCCATGTTCTAGCCACCCCTTAGATCTTCATTGGTTAAAATGCTCAGGTGTAATTTAGAGCTTTCTCTTCGGCTTACAATATTATTGACATACTTCGCAAATGTGCCTGACTTATAATTTCCTCTCTTTCTTTCAGAGGATGAGTTATGTGGTGCGAAACTATTATCATGGATTTTCTCACCAGGAGGACTTACTCTCAAAACTTTAACATTGGTATTTCTTCTCTATTAGGGATTTTGCCTGATAGGACAATCTATCTCATGATTAATCAGGTCTAGATATCTTTGAGGTTCAAAGCAGAATCTGCATTATATTTATGACTTTTCAAGAATTTCAGTCTACGACTTATGCAATTTTCTAAGCGTCGGATTATTTATTTTGCACTCGATGCACTTGTTCTCTTTGCACAATTTATTTTGGATGCAGCTCTGACAGAAATTAGTCAAGCAATCTTGGCACGATTTCGGCTCAAGCATAAGATTTTTGCATATTTTGCACTTAAAGGCCTTTTAGATGTCATACTCGGTTAACAAGTTGCGCTTAACCTTTTTTATGAGTGACTTTAGAGGTTTGCATACTTTTATATCTAAGAAAACTGGTTCTCTATACCGACAATGAGGGCAAGCGTTGTTTCTTTGAGTGATTTCATTCTTACAGCTACCACACAGTCCACTTTCACATACATTGCAATAGTGCTCAATAGGCTTAATGAAGCAGACATAGCAGTTAAGCAGTTCCCCCCTATTTATCATCAGCATGATATCTTTAGCATTAGAAATTTATCTTTTCATGGTTTAAGCTCCGGCTGTAACATACATCTCAGGACCACCCATTTGACTATTTGGTCTTTAATATAACATCCTAGCCTTAGCCTGTGAAGTCATTGGCACATTTTTAATGTCAAAAACATGATCTTTATTCTGTTTTTTGCCATCTGGTGTAAAAGCATCTTCCATTTGGGGCACAGTCGTGCTGGTTATTTTAGCGTAGTTGTCAAAATTCATTAAAACGTTATCCACTATAATTAATAAGACTTAATGATTAATATGAATGATATTAATATTTTGAATATCTTTCATAATGCATCACGGGGTTTTGGGGTTTTGGGGTTTTGGGGTTTTGGGGTTTTGGGG